GTAGTTGCATTTAACCGGTAGATAACAGCCGGATTGCGCAAGGTACGTCTGATGTTAAGGGCATGATTGTAGAACTAGCTATCTTATCGAATTAGTGTAGAAAGTGTTCTATGTTTCATGTAGGAGAGCGGGAAACATATGTAAAGCGTAGTTAGGCGTGGCGAGTGATAATATATGATCTTTGCCGAAAATTCAAAATGGAGCTATTAATATTGGGACAAAGCAGGGGAGGCGGCATCTGACTATGGTACTGGTGCTATATCAGCTTGAAGTGGAATCGAGGTTTTGGGTTTGCATTAAACGTTATTCCAACATCTGGCTAGACTAGTGGCCGTGGGGCGTACGGGTAGGTCGTTGTTGTCTTGATATTCGAACTTGGCACTGAGGGAAGGAATGGCCTAGAGAGTTTTGAATAGCTTTTTTTGATTGGTTTCCTAAGTCAGCTAAGTGTATTGATGATAACTGAAAAGAGGAAAACTTATAACAATGACCTATAGGCTCGATTTTGAAAAATTCTATCCACGCATACGATATATTAATATTAGTCAAGGCAAAAATGATTCAACTCCAAGCACGCAATCATGTATTTAAAGAATCTAGGTAGATCCCTGAATCAAAAAAAGTTTTCATATTCCTCCCATGACTAGCATGACCCAACCAAACATGCGTCTAGGTTGAGAAGACCGCGAGGGAGAGGGTCGGAGTGATAGCTTGCGTATGCAAACAACTAAGTGATTGGTCATAGGAATGTAAAGTAGTTTCGTGACTACTCATAGTGCACACTGTAGTTAGGTAATGACGTCAAACCTTTGAGCGTGGCCATGGGACAGGTTGCTATTACTCAGTCGAATCCAAGGGAATCCAAATAATTCATCCCTGCACGACTTACATGTATCTACCTTAACCTACTCGGATACAAACCGGCGGGATACATACAACCATCATCCTCTCATACTGAGCCCCACCAGTGTGAATGGTCCGGAAGAGAAACAATCCGGTGATATCCTTTTATCCCTAGTGGTAATATCGTCGTCGATAATGACTTCAACAGCCATTTGAGCGATAGGGCTACTGAATGGCTGTATACCATCTATGTACATCTTTAACCTATTAACGGGCGGATCTTTCGGGTATATATAAATTAAAACCGCCTGATAACTGCCATCAGGGTCAGAGAAAAGATGGTGTGCTCATCGATGTCGTTCTCTGGGCAGCGGTCGTGCTACGTCTGGCTTTTAATAATTCCTTTTCACCTCTTCCAAGAGCAAAAGTAAATGCTAGGGGTTAGAACGAGAGCTAAATACACCTGATTCTAAGCCTAAGTGGAAGGTCCAAGATGTGACGGTGAACCTTGCAATTCAATCTCAAACCTTAATTCACCCTTTACTGGCTCGGTCAATCCCGAGATATTATTACATGTAGTAACGTCACGCCAGTGACAACAACAAATCATACATGTAGTTACAGATATAAGTGTGGTTGCTCGCTTCGAGCATTTTATATTCATCCTACCGAGGGAGCTTGTGATATCGATTGCATCTGTTCCACCCCGCATCCGTTACAATTCGGAAGGGGGATCTGCAAGATCAACGAACGGTTTTTTGGGTTGCACTTATAAGACAATTGGTTGTTGGTTCGGTACGCCGATTCGAACAATCATTGATACATTAGTGTTTTTAATAACGCCTCTCCAGGTTTATTACTATTTTTCCAATGCGAGGTAGGCGTTTTAGCCAGGATGTACATAGTAATAGGGACTTCGGAAGTTACAGAGGTGGTGCTCGCTTAAACTTTGAAGTAAGATCTTGTTTGCGCGCTCCCCAGAAAACGGCAAAGCAAGGGTGGCCACTGGCCACTGGCCACTGCGTCAAGGCTCCAAGGTTTAACGCAAAATAGAATGTGGACACCAAGGACCAGCACGGGCTCGGTTCCAGCGCGGACGAATTGTTTTTGTTTTAGTTCACATCATCTTTGCTTGAGGGACATTAATTCCCCCGGCCAGGGAACCCGGAGCCCGGTACCACGAGAGGGGAGCACTAGTGGACGCTTTATGCCTGCTCCTGGCTAGGCATATTATGGCATCCAAGATTTATATAACCACTTGATTTACGCCGATATAGGGTTTTCTTTACTCCTAGTATATATTCTACCGGTGCCTACATATATACAATAAGCATAAACTCATAAAACACTTACTTGCTTTCCTTACACAAGTACTTTCAAACTCAAGTAACATTAAACAATGTTGCTCGACGCACTGCAGCAATCTGCTCCTGGGATAGCACTCACTCTCCTAGTGGCTTCAATTTTGGCCTTCTGCTTCGCCAAAATTCGCCAAAACCTCCGGATTCGAAAACTAGGAGGCCGAGCTCCAAATATCAATACTTACCCATTTCTCTTTGGTAGATACTTGTTCAACCCCCTCTTTTAATAATCGGCGATATGATAATAATTTTGGCTGTGATTAGGCCTGGATGTGATACTAGATACAATGCGCATGGCATGGAAAAATCAAAACTTTGAGCTTTGGAGGAGGAGATTTGATAATTCGGGGCATACGGTGGAGATGGAGCTGCTTGGACAGAGAATCATCTTGACAGAAGATCCAGAGAATATCAAGGCGATCTTAGCGGCACAATTTTCTGATTATGGTATGTGTCTTCCTACGGTTAATTCTTAGCTTTGGGGGGTTTGCCTTCGGCTTGTCGAGTGGCCGAAACAGTGTAGTAAATGAGGTTTCTTGACATGAACGTCAACAAGCTAATGTTCCTCTTCAAACATAGGCAAAGGCAAGGATTTCCACCGACAATGGCTTCCATTCCTAGGCAACAGTATCTTCACAACCGATGGCAGTGAATGGCACTCTTCCCGTCAACTCATCCGACCCCAGTTCATTAAAGACCGTATCTCTGACCTAGAAACCTTCGAACGAAACATCACTCATACGATGTCACTCATCCCGCATGATGGTAGCGCTGTTGATATAAAAGATCTGTTTTATCGATACACTTTAGATATAGCCACAGAGTTTTTATTAGGGAATACCGTCAACAGTTTGGGAAGTCCACGTGCAGAGTTTGCAGTAGCGTTCGCGGAATTACAGAAGTTTATGAACGATATTTCAAGAGTTGGGTACGGGGTCTTGGTGTTTTTTCTTTCTATTTTCTAGAAGAGAGGTGAACTGATGTCATATTAGGCCAGCCGAAAATCTCTTTCCCCGCGGAAAATTCAACAAGAACCTCGCTATTCTCAACTCCTTTGTCGAACCCTATGTTGAACAAACCCTCCAGCTGAAGCCCTCCGAACTTAAGGACAAGACCGAGAAGAACTACAACTTCCTACATGCTCTCGCCGAATTTACACGCGATAAGCGTATGTTGAGAGATCAACTTGTAGCGGTGCTATTAGCTGCCAGAGATACGACAGCTGCTACCCTGAGTTGGACCCTGCACGAGTTGTCGAAAAAGCCGGAGGTGGTGCAAAAGTTGAGGGAGGAGATCTTGCGTTCCGTTGGGCCGGATAATAACCCAACATACTCAGATTTGAAGAATATGAAATATTTGTCAGCAATCCTTAACGAGACCCTTAGATTATATCCTGCCGGTACGCCAAAACCTTATTTCCCTATTATTATAGAGGGGTGTCACTGATTTAGAGGACAGTGCCATTTAATGTCAGAACTTCTTTGAAAGATACATATCTGCCTCGCGGAGCTGGTGTTGATGGGAACGAAGTAAGACTCTGCTTCGTTGAAGTTGAAAAGTTATTCATAGCCTGGTAGCTGATCTCTTTCTAGCCTGTTGGAGTCCCCAAAGATACACCCATCGCATACTCAACCTTGACAATGCAAAGAAGAGAAGATATCTTTGGGCCTAGTGTCAATGAATTTGACCCTGATAGGTGGAGCAAATGGTAAATCCCTAAATCTAACCTTTAAAATCTATAAACAAAGGTGAAAGACTAACATTCAATAGGGTACCTAAGAGCTGGCAATATATCCCATTCAACGGCGGCCCACGGATCTGTATTGGTCAGCAATTTGCTCTAACAGAGATGAGTTACACGATCGTTAGACTATTCCAGGAGTTTGAGGCGGTTGAGCCACGGATGACGAAGGTACAGTGGATGCAGACTGAGATTGTTGGGTCGCCGGGAGAAGACGTGGTGCTTTCTTTCAAGCCCGCCAAGTGCTAGTGCAGAGCTTCCAGGCAGCAAGGGTTCGAAAATTTTCGACTATTTTTTCTCCCCCTCTCTTCTCCTTTTTCTTCAGGGTCCTGGCACTCGTTTGGGGGTGGTTTTCCTTTCTATGTATTTAATTTGGTGCGAATGTTAACGACGTTATGAGAATTGTATATTTTATACTATTGTGAAGTGATTTCAAGTAATGAATGTACATGTAGTTCACCTTTTTCCTACGCGGCTATGAGGTGAAGTGGTTTAAAGTAATCGTATTGTGTGCCTAAATGTGTTTGAGCAGTGCGCAATTTGTTCGCTGTCAGACTTCCATGCAATGATGCAGGACATGGTGTATGCACGTTACACCATTTACTTGTGGTGATTCTCTTCTGGGAGTAGTTCAAGTCGTTTGGTTGTATGTAACTTTGTAAGATGTGTATGCCCTGAGCCTTGGCAGCGGCTGCTCAGTCATCCCCGAAGCTTCTTCCCACCTCACATCACACAACTCTCTCTTTCTCTCCATAGAACACTCTCTCGCCTCTAACACCACCCACCCCCTCTCATCTTTATCGATCATCTCGTGTACCTAGCCAACAGCTTAATATACGATCGTTTTTCTCTTCCACCTAGCCCTCGCCATCTGTAGCCCCCTGTTTGCCTGCCCGCCTGCGATCCCAAAAACACGGACTTGTTTGCCCCTGTGAGCGAGTACCGCCTTCTCTCTTTCCGAGAGGCGCATCCAGCTCTCCGAACATAGACGCGATTTTTTTTCGTTCAGTTCAAACTACCCTCGTTTATTCACAACTTGCAAATCTAACCGCACCATGGCCCTCGTTATGAACACCTCACTTACGGACGCACTCGCGACCCGTATTCAGCCAAAGCTGGTGGATATAGGCTGGAGCATCGGTGGCGAGGACAGCTCTCCCCTCAGCGAATACATATGCCTCATGATCGTGAACGGGAAGAACCAGGAACAGATTGCGTCAGAGTTGTCGGGCGATCTGCTTGGACTTAGCCCCGAGGACTCTAGCGCAACTGAGTTTTCTAAATGGCTGTTCGAGCAGGTGGACGCCTTGAAGGGAAGTGTTATGGCGGAACAGCAGAAGACAGAGCCGAGCAATGAGCAGCCAGCACAACAACCTCCGGTGTCAGCCTCGTTAGATCACGAGATGGGGGATCTGATGGATGAGATCGCTCCCCAGGATGGAGTGTAAGTTAAATTCGCCTGGTGAAAAAAAAAGAGAAAAAAAGCGTTGTGACGGTAATCGTGATGTTTCTAACATTTTTTTTTTAGGCCAACTGCGCCAAAAGCGATGAGACAGACGAACCAACCGAACCGGCGATTGATGAACCAGCTGTTCAAAGCTATGGAGAGGAAGCCGGATGACCCCCTTCATCGCGTCAATGCGGGGGTATCCGGCAGAATCGATACCCATAAACGCGAGCCTCCTAAGGGACCGTCAAAAGGCCCGATGCGGGGAGGTATGAACAACAACAACCGACCCCATCAAAATCGCATGGGCGGCGGGAGAAATGGGTTTGCAGGAAATTTTGGGAACTTGAACCCCCAGCAGCAAATGCAGTTCTACCATATGTTTCAGCAACAGTCGCAGATGATGCCGTTCATTCCAGGACAAACCCCACCACAGCATATGAATATGCAGATGCCAGGGCCAATGGGGGGGCCGATGGGGCATATGGGTGGTCCTATGGGCGGGCCGATGAACGCGATGAACGGACCGATGGGAGGACCGGTAAGAGGGCCTATGGGGGGGCCTATGGGAGGTCAGATGGGTGGACCAATGCACCACCAGATCCCGATTGGCATGCCTATGGGTCCCGAAGACCCATACCAAAACAATCTATCGCAGCCCCGACGGGCCGGCGGAGGAGGATCATTATTCGATCGCATACAAGCGCCTCCAGAGCCATCAACGCATAACGGAGGAATGGATACCAGTGATGACATGTCAATGGATCAAAGATCATCAGGAGACCAAGGTTCCCAAACTCCGCCGAACTCGAAGCCTGAGGAGATCCCTTGCAAGTTCAGTGCAGGGTGTACAAAGCCAGAATGCCAATTTGGACATCCTTCGCCTGCCGCCTTACCAGGACGTGGTGCTGTATATGTTAGTGGAGAAAGGTGCCCCTTTGCCGCTTCCTGTAAGAACCGAAAGTGCACCGGGTCCCATCCATCGCCAGCAGCGGTAAGGCCAAGCATTCCAAAGCCAGACCAGGAGTGCAGGTACTTTCCTAACTGTACGAATCCTGCTTGTCCTTATAAGCAGTAAGTTCCCTAACAGCATTCTTGTTTCTTTCTTTTTGGTTTCAATAATTGACTCGATAAATAGTCCTGCTACCACTATGCCACCTTGCCGAAACGGCCCTAGCTGTACTCGCCCTGGCTGCCACTTTACCCACGCTGAGATCAAGTGCAAGTTCACCCCTTGCCTCAACCCTACTTGTATCTACAAGCACGATGAGGGCCAGCAGAAAGGATCATTCGAGCATAAGATCTGGACGGCCGGTGGAACAAAAAGCCACGTTAGCGACCGAAAGTTTACCAGCGGCGAGGAGGGTGAGGAAGAGCTTATCATTCCTGGACAAGGCTTGGCCGTGGAGCTCGAGAAGGATATGGATACTGCTCTGGTGGATGACGTTGAGTGAAATGCCACTTTTAACAACTCACTAATGGATTAAAAAATTACACGATGGGAAAAAAATCTCTAAGGATTTGAAACGAGGCGTTTTGGCGATTATGACCACGATGAATGCTGTTGTGAAGGTTGTGACTCAGGTTTCTAGGAATGGGGTTGATGTGTAACATCAGCGCAGCCAACCCCTCGATATAAAAAAATTCGGTGTTATTAGATGTTCGGCTTTCTTTTTCTCTTTCTATTTTTGTTTTTATTATTTTTCATGTTGACATTTTCGCGGTTACCAGGGGGGACTGGCTATGCTAACAATATTAGCACAAAATCAATGATCTTACATATTGTATATATTCTACTTCTCCTCCCCCAGTCCTCCTCATCACTGACCTCTTCTCCTCTGTTTACGGTCTTATATTTTCTCTCTTTCTATCTCCAATATCTTACTGGTCGGTGGTTTGATGATTTTGGCTCCTGCATAGTTGCTTGGATATCTTCTTTTTCTTCCTTGTTTTATTGATCTTTCTATGGCTTCACCTTTCCTCACTCCCTCTCATTATGGGAGCTATTATCATCTCGCTATTTCAACGGGATTTGGACCGATTATTTACAGCATGAGGAGAGAGAGGGTTAGGAGGGCGGTTTACACTCGAGCTTCTTTTCCACGGGCGTGTTTCCTATGTTTGGTGTCTTTTCAATTTTTCCTACCCAAGAAGATAAACATATTCCGCGGAGTGGGAGGGTGAATCTCTGGGTAGAGAACAACCCAATCGTTAATTTGTTTCCTGTACTGTTAGTATTTAAGTTGAGGACATGGTTTGTCGTGTGTGCATGTAGTAGTAGTTAACTCTTTTGTGGTTTTGTATTATGATTTGTGTGCTTTTTGAGATGTTGGGAGCGCTCTGGGATAATATCAATTGGATGGAGTTAGGTAGATATGATTTTTTGACATGTGCCTTGTGATATATATTGAGTGGGTCTGTGACGGCTGGTCAGGTTAGACGTGGATGTTTGAATTTCACAAACTCTGCTGTAGGTTTTCTTTGTTGTATATGTAGCCATGCTGCGTTCTCTAAGATTCGATTTAGATACCATTAGTCTATTAGACATCAAATACGAGACCTTATATTCTATCTGCCTTCATATTGTAGCATAGAGTAAATAGATCACCATTAACACAGAATCAAAGAGGAAACTTAAAGATGTAAAATACCCAGCAGGCAGTAGATTAAATATATAGTACTGTTTTTACTTGATGTGAAGGAAATGATCTTACTAGTCCCGTCCTCTAGCTAGGTGCCATCGCGAGAGGTGAGACTGAGAGGAAGTTCTTTACACGAATCGTAGAACGGCAGGCCCTGAACCAACTATCTGAAATTCTGCGAATTATAATATACAAATGCTCACTTTGAAGAGTCTTTGATCAAATTGAATTCGATAGTCACTTTATAAGGTCTGGAGGTGTTTATGGGAATATAGCGCGTGATTACCCACGACGAAATTCACATAAACATTCCGCCTACATATGTGCTCTCGTTGATCTAGCTACTATAGTGAACTTGGTCAACTCAACGGGAGAATCTCATAAGTAATGATGGGCACGAGACAGGACGGGATCATTTTGACTAAGTCTCATCTTGCCTCGTCCCATTATCCCATCAACCGTAGCAACCGAGTTAAGGACCCGATTGGGTCCCACTTGAAATAAAGTGACCTTTCTTAAATTCACAGCAACACCAGCTTCGTGAGTACTATATTAGGAGCTCTTATTGGGATCGGTTGATAAACTTTCCCGCTTATTTGTTATTAGTGAACAGGGCTGGATTATATCGTTTTTGTGTTTTTATCGAGGTTAGAGTTGCAAAGTACCCAATTGGAACCCCAGGCTCCTACGGTTCATGGGATAGTCTTGGAAATCTCGAGACCTGAGGTAACTCTCGAGGCGAATCTTGAGACTGATATAAGCTGAACTCAATCTGGATTTGAGATAAAAACTTCGTGACCCGGGTATTCTGCTGGCAAGCAGAGAACTCGGTCAGTGAACCTCGTGGAAAACAGAAGGGCTGTCCAGTTGCCATATTGTAGAGTCAACGCCTGCATTCTCTGGTTAACGCGGTTCTATTGAAATAAGCCAAATGCTTACCTTTCGAGAAGAATCAAATGACTACCGAATATTTCGGGAGGACTAGAACCCTTTGGTTTGTCTAAAGCATCCGATCGCGAGTCGGTCGGCGTCCCGGATGTTAGTACCACGGCCATGAATGAAGCCTCGCATAGTGTAAACTACAATGATAGATAGGGCTTCAGGCAATGTCGGTAGATCCAAAAATAAGAATAGATCACTTTATACCTTGTCCACCAGAAGGTAAAAAGTGCCGGGGGTTTGGATGAGACATAAACCTGGTTGTGTACTTGGCCGATTATAAAGAGTAGGACGGAGAGCTCAGCGCCGCAACGGCGCAACGCAACGCAACGCAACGAAGCCCAACTCGACGAAGCCCAATGCAATGAATTCAATTTGTTATGCTTGATAATTATTGTTACCAATATACTAGTATTTTCCTCCAGAAAAACGTATGGTTATGATACTTGCTCGGTGTTGAGGCGTTGTGTCAGGTGCGAGCATGTACAGTTGCGACTCACCCTTCCTTGTACTTCCGTCCTACTCTTTATAATCGGGCAAGTATGGTGAGGTTAGGAAAGGTTTCTTGGCGCGAGTGATGTTCCATGATGCACAAGCGCTTGTGCCCTTACCCTACAAGCAGATTTTAACTTCTTCTTTTTATCGCCCATCACATCTATCTGTCGACCGAAATATTGGCCATCGTCCACCACGCGTCGCAACACCAAAGATCAAAACTTCAACAGTGGACACACCACTATCTTAAACAAGAATGATGATGAATCAACTGACACCAGAGGCAGCACCACCGCCGAGTTCAGGCTATAAAATCCACTGGACCGCCAACCGCTCCCTGGCCCTTCCTGGAATATACACTGAGTCCCAGAACATCTGTCTCATGCTATTCGTTATTCATGAGTGAGAGGGTTCGCTAGTCTTTGCTAACACCACGAAATATCCATCGGTGTTTCCACGAATACTAATCTATCTTAGCCCCCGCCCATCAAAGCGCTGTGGTCGTGGGCGACCTAGTATACATCTAATCCGTGTATCCGGTGCTAAACCAAGGCATAAAGGCACAGTTCCGATTGTGCACGGAGCCAAAGAGAGAAAATCCACCCACCTCTTTAGCTCCAACCCTACCGGTACAGAATCTCTCACCCCTCGACCTTGGCTTACCAGACAATGTTTATCCCGAACTAGATTCTGTGTCCTTTGAGAACTACCATGGTTTCTGCAATGACTGGTCTTTGACTGCGGCACTGGCATATCCATGAAGATGTTCTGCGGGGGAAGCTTCTACAACCTTTACGGACATGTGCTCCCTCACGCGTCCCCCCGAAACAGGCGAGCACATAGTACCATACCTCACCAATAACTCGGACAGAGACTCCTCCAGGAGCTCAAGAATGTCCTATTTATGGGTTATTACCAGGCCCTGAACGCTAGGAGGAAGCATAAGGAAGTGTGTTGTTTTGGTATCCGAGTGATATTCTATGATGCTACATCTTCCGCAACTAAAGTTTGGATCGGCTTTAGAATTTCCGGTAAAGAATGGAGATGAAAATTTGCCCTGTGGCGTAGGATAACTCAAGGTTTGGAGCTCTGTTGTCACTATCTAAAGACGACTCTTTCAAACAACAGCATCGAAATTAGGCTTGATTATCCTCATATAGCCTACATGTAGTTATATGTGGCTATAAGGGGGTTTGGTGCTCGTTTGAGATACTCTCTCCCTTCAGCCTTTTGAACCTTTGACGATCTCGTCCGGTCCCAAGCTTATAACCTCGTTGACATGCTTGATATATATACAGTGGACTCTTGAGTTGGCAGCGAAAGCCTGTATCATCATAAGGCATCACCACCATTAAGTAACCAATAGAACGGCACGTTAGGGCCGCCAATTGCGATTTTATAGCGGGGTTATGCATATATATCAAAAGAAAGAAAGGAAAAGGCTTTAAAACGATATAAAAAAAAGCTACGCACAAAACCATAAACCGGACATACAAAAACTAGTAAGATACTACAGCCACTCTGCAAAAGTGTTCGTGACTTGGTTTTAATATCAGTGCGCAGTGTGATGCACCCGTAATGTTAATATTAATGCTCAGATTGAAAACAATGAAAAATCTAGTATATAATATAGTTCGTGACTCTATAGAAGTAGGCCATTGATCTTTATTCTTCATTGATTCCTGACGCCATTGGTCTTCTCTTGGTGTATGCGGCCACGGTTACATATGGAGAAATGTCTCACTCCGAAATCGGAATCACGAACACTTTTGCAGAGTGGCTGTACAAACAATAAAAGATCAAATCAGGAGGGAAGTTTGTTGGGGAAAAAATTGCCGGCGAGCTATCCGGGACCTGTCACCTCCTGGGAGAGAAAGAAAGCGAACGTCCCAAGACGGAGTCCCGCCATCATAACAGTGCTGATTCTAATATTAGCTGTTGTTGGTGAGAAAGAGGTCAGTGGCTTCGGCGATCATTCGCCGTGAGCAGGAAGGATACTGGGACGCCTTCTACAGTCGACTCTCCCTATAAGGGTGCGAAAAGTGCGAGAAATGGGGCATGGCGTTATCCTTTTAGAGGGGGTACTCTTATGGGATGCAGGGTTAGGGTTACCTGACCAAAAGTCATGAAGCAGGTTTCTTTTGGGAATATCTCAACAACGAGAAGAGCTATTGATTAGCTACGAGTTAGGAATGATCCAGTAGGTATTATAGAATTATATGGAGGTGGTCATTAGTAAAGCGAAATTATTTGTGGTTATTTATAAGGGGTAAAGGGTGTTGAAGATAAAGTAATGCTGGTATGAGCAAAAGCACGGGTGGATTTCTTTTGATGATAGATGAACAAAAATAGAAACTATGAATTAGTTGATATTTGTG